ACCAATAGCTAAGATCATGACAGTACACACCGGTGGTAATGAGGCTAAAAGAGCAACTTCAGACGTCAGTAAGAGTCTCGAAGGCCAATTATTATTGGCGAAAGGGTCTTGTGTCATGCTAATGATAATATATAGACTAAAGGAAGGTTAGTTAATGGAGTAATAGGAATAGTATATAATATTTTATATGAAGATTGGGGTTCACCTTCACTTCCCATAGCAGTTTTTATTAAATTCGATATATATGAAGAACCTAGTATAACAATGTCAGAAGGGGACAAAGTTATTCTGATAGTACCAATCAAACAAACCTGAAAAAGTAAATCTGGAGTAACATACTCTAGACTCCAGGTTCCTCTTTGTTTAGCATAAGCTATCATGATCCATAAGAGTCAAGAGCTTACGCTGGTAAAGGCAAAAATAGATATTGGAAGTAAAGAATTCGCAACAAGTTTTTCGTTTATCGCGATTTTACGAGTTTACTTATTCAGTAACATATACCTTAAGCAATTCACTTTTAAATGTCTTCAACGCATAAAAAATAGTAGAAGACTATACAAAAGAAAGGAAGAGGAAGTGCGTTTACTCTCTCAGGTATTTTGATAGCAAATTTAAGCTTTTATTTTTAATATACAATTATTCTGTAAAAATAAACAAAGAAAAGTGAGACATGTATTTTTTTCAGTGTGAATAAATGCTTTATTTGTTAATTAATTAATTAATATATTGCTTTTTGGGATCAGTGATACAAATTATACAATTTAACATTTGCGTAATAATTATAAATTAACCCACTAATTTCCATTAACCCGAACAGTAAGCAGATAGACAACGAAACATTTCTGTATCACTATACATAGTATATATAGTTCTTCGCTTCACTCTGGACTAATTACAAGAAAACAAAAACTTATTCAAAGAATCATCTGATATATTACTTCATATTTTAAATCTATAGCAAATACATTATATTGAAAACTTAGTTACAAAAATGCAAATAAACATAAATTAGATTCTAAGTATCAATAAGAAATGTTGATACAAATAACTTGTCTTCAATTAGTAAACCACAAATTATCAAATCATTATTTTTTATTCTATTATTATTATATTTATTGATTATGTCTTTCATTTCATTTTTTATTTTCATCAAATCACAATCTTCAAAGTAATTTTTTTGATACAACATAATCAACAAACTTTGTTTCTAATATAAGTAAATAATATTTTTTGTTTCTGATGGGTAAATAAACAGAAAAATCAGCTTTTCGTCCTTGTAATAAAGGATCAAATTTATGTTTTCTGTGTGTTGAGGTATTCAAAATATCAGTTGATCTGAAAATAATTTAAAATATATTTAATTATTATAATTACAATACATGATAAAAAGGTATTATTAAATACTTACCATGAACATTCAAAATTACTACAGTAATACCTCTATAAATGCACGTACTTAGGGCCAGCTATGCATATGCACTTATGGAGAGTATACACTTATAAAATAGTCAATAGAAAAATAGATTTTATTACACAAATTAAAAATCTGACAAAACTTTAAATTTATTTATTAAACTTTATTTATTTAAACAGTATTTATTTAAATCCATGTATTTAAGCTAATTTTATATATTTTTAAACTCTAATGTATTTATTTAATCTCAAATAAATTCAGTTTATTTTTCAATATACAAAAGCAACATATTTAGAACTCTTATAAGTAGAATTGACTACGAGAGTAAGGAAGAATGTGTTTATCCTAAAATTACAGACGTAAATTGCTTAACAAATATATCATAATACTCTCTAACAATGTATTTGACTATATGCTAACAGTACTGCAGATGCCAGAATTACTTTTAATGAAAATATGTATTAAGGTCAATTTGTCACATTAAGCTTATCTTTTTAATCTTAAAAAATTTTTCGATCTTTTCTACTAACTTTACATATTCTTCTGCGTTATTCTATTGAAGTAAAAATGTATGTATAGTTTCTAAGCTAGCAATTGTATCACTAGAACTAATAATAGGAATTTTATTACTATTATCTATTTCGTCTAAATTCACATTCCCCTTATCAGTATTCTTAAAAGATATATGAGTTCTTCAATAATTTGATTATTTTTGGGAATTTCATAAACAACATTTTCTTTTGGTATATTAAGAAACTCTTCTGCTTGCATTAGATTGGAAAGATTAAGAGTTTGAAGTGAATCTGTGAGATCACAAAGTACCAAATTTTCATTTTGGCGAATATTCTCTGAAATATTTCTAAAATCTACATTTGTATCAGAAAGAATTTTTGTATAACATCAATAATTACTAATTATTTTAGCGTTAACTTTATTTTAAACTTGAATGATAAATTGAATTACTTATAAGATATCAATATGTAAATCCTCTGCACAATTACCTTTCTCTACATATTTTAGCATTAAACTTTTAAAAATAAACAGTTAGATTTGAATACTAAAATATATAGCAAATTTAATAATTTTACTTATTATACATGAGAATGACAATAATGTCTTTTAAAGAACATAATTATTCTAGCATCCATTGGCTGAATTTTTGAAGTCGTATTCAAAGGTAAAAAATAAACATCAGTGTATTGTAATGTAAGGTCAGCTAGTTTATGATTAGAACAGTTATCAAAGAGAAGTAATACACGTTGGCCTTTATGCTTTAGACCAACTTGACGATTAAATTTCCAAAGTTACTCTTGAAAAAGCTATGCAATTATCCAGACTTTGATATTATTACAGTATATCATTGGCATGGTTTAAATTCTTATATTTTTAAAGCAACGTGATCTTTCAAATTTTCCAATGATTAAAGGTTTCAATTTGTATGAGTCATCAGTATTTACATATAATGTAACTGTAAGACATTTTTTGTTCACTTTACGCTCAGAAAGACATTTAGTTGTGAGTATTTGATCAGGTTCTAACCTATAAATATAAGATAAGTAAATTTTTTTATTTGATTTTTTTTCTGTTTTAAAGATTTATCTATAAAAAGTTCCGTTTCATCTATATTATAGATTTTTTCAAGAGGATAATTGGAATAACATTCTTTTAATAAGAGTAAAGCATTAGAAATAGCAGCTTTATCAGCAGATGAAGCTTCTTTTTCAAGCTTTTGTTAACGAATTCTATTACAGTTTTTAAACTTATGAAGCCATCCTAAGGAAAATTGTAATGCATCTTGAGAAATATCTAATCCATCAACAATTATTTTAGCTTTTTTGATAAGTATCGCATCATTTAAAACTGTTCGATGCTGATAGTTTAAAATGAATTCCCTTAAGAGCAAACTCAAGTTCTGGATAAGTAACTGATTTATAACGTTTTGAATTTAGATTAATAGTTTTTGAATTAAGTCGTTCTTCTGCTATTTGTAGGATATGAGTAATAGTGTTCTTATCAACTCTAAAGTTTCATTTTTCTTTAATCCAGTTAACATATTGAGCCTGAGTCTTTTTATTATTTTGAGCATAAATACAAAGTTCTTTTTTTTTGAATTTCAGAAAAAGTGGTTCTTTTGAGAGACATTTTTAGGAAAGTATAGCTAATTTCAACATTATTAAATAATGGTGAATCATCATTATTTTTTTTTAATTTAGATACATGATAGAATCTAACACTTTAATTTTTATTCTATAGGGATTTGGATATGCACTATTTTCTCATCAATATACAAAATATTTCCCTGCTATACTAATTTGGAATAATTGATTAAGCAAGAATAAAAATATTCTATAGGATTTGTTTATTCACTAACATACGCAAACAGAATCATCTAATATAATCGCTTTTAAATCTTTTCTGACTAATACTAATTTGGTTAGTCATCAATAGATTAAGACAATACATATATTTATTATTCATGCTTACTATGATTTGTTTGCATTCGTTTCATTAATTTATTTAATAAATTTAAGAAGCCTTTTTATATATCATTTTTAAATAGATCAAAAAAATTTTTTTTTTACAAAAATAAAAATTAATTTTTAATAATAAAATGAAGGCATTATCATATTATATATGAAGTTATTTAAATTATTTATGTAAATTTACTCATTGGATAATATATTTAATATATTTTACTTTTAGAATTTTTGAACATAAAAATTAACTCGTGATCATACGGTTGTCTCTGATTGGTCGATTATTATATACATGCATTTATAGAAGACATTCTAAAATATCTGGGACTCAGAATTTCTTACACATGCAGAAATTGGAGAGTGTACACTTAGCTCTAAGTCCCAAACTTAAGACCAAGCTATAGTGTGCATATAAAGAGGGTGTGCATTTATAGAGGATGCACTTATAGAGGTATTACTATATTGACGAAAAATGGTTTGATTATAGGTCCCGAAACTTCATGTACAAAGAAATCTTCTTTTAAACCTTGTCTATATACTTTTGGTTGAAAGCTACCAATGCTATAATATGATAAATATGTTAAATATGTCAAACAATCAACAATAAGATCTTTAAGCTTTGCAAGTACTTACATAGATTCAAATACCTCTAAAATCAAATCCTCTTGATCATCCTCGACTTATTTTTGCCATTTTCTTAGCAATGGCTTACAGTTTTGAAAATTTTGATTTGCAGTCTGTGTAAATAAACATGTTATTATTAATATAGAAATAATTAAAAACTTTAAGATCGTTTAAAAAAATATACCTTTGCTATTGTATAATATCGTACAATATCATTATTAGATAATTGGTAGGGAATAAATTCATTTCTAATGTTTTCAAAAATGATTTTTAATGATTCAAGTTCAATCATTTCCTGAATTCCAGTTGATATATGGTTTAATAATCTACAATAATAAAAAAAAATTATTATAAAAAAGTAGCAAATAATAAACATATGATTTAAAAGTTTCAAACTCATAGTATTTTAGCAGCCTCTCTAGTGTTATTCTCGAAAGCTTTTTGGACTGATATATTATGATATTCTAATAGTAAAGTTGAAACATCAATTGTATCAATGATCCATTATATATATAAAGGTATCTGGACGTTTTGCCAAATCCGTTTCGTCGAAATCCATTTTGTCAAAGCTAATTCACTGAAAGGATTTTTCGCTAAATGACCACTTCGCCAAATGGACTTTTCGTCGAAGTACTATTTCGCCGAAATGATGTTTTGCCAAATTCTTTTTGCTGAACAGACATATCGCCAAATCCATTTCACCGAAAGGAAATTTCACCGAAAATGATTACAGCGTAATATTTGTTTAACTTGTCATTTTTAGATTCTACATTATAAAATAAGTTTTTTCTTAAAAATTTTGGAAATAATAAAAAAAGTTCAATAAATCTGGCAAGTTGCTAACAACTAACAGCAAATTATTTTCGTTTTTAGCAATTCGGAAAAGTGTCCGTTCAGTAAAACAGATTTGGCAAAATGTCATTTCGGCGAAGCGTCCTCTCAGTGAAATGTTCATTCAGTGAAACTTCTTTTTAGTAAAAGGTCCATTTGGCGAAATGGACATTGGCGAAGTGGTCGTTTGGCAAAATGTCCTTTCAGTGAATTGGCTTCGACAAAGGGGGTTTCAGCGAAACGTACTGTAACCGTATATAAAATAGCATTAAAAATCTTTTCTAAATAAATTTTAATAAAAGTTTTAGATATTACCTTATTTGCACCATCACTTAATGTAGATTCTTTGACTCCTTGTCCTGTAAACCATTCATAAATATATTCCTTTTCATTTAGTTCAAGATAGTAGTCATCACTTGATTCATCTGAACTGGAACAATAAGGTTCATCTGAGTCATTCTTACTTGGTAATCCAAATGCAACAAAAGGGTTACTAGGATCTTTTTCAATTTCCTAGAAATAAATTGTTAGATTAAATCAAGTAGATACTCTCAATAGATTCACATTTACAGTACTAACTAACCTTTGCCAAATGTTTTGAAGGACTTTCTTCAACACTGTCTAAAAATCATTTCATAAGTTGAATAGGTTTACTTCCTTTTTATAGAAAGGTTATAAAAATAAACATGCATTGCTAGATATACTAGGGAATGGTAAACCGTTATTAAGTCTGAAACGAAATTCTAACTAAAGTAACTCAAAATGCCTATTAAAAAATGTAATACAATCAAGTTAACTAACGTGTCTAATTAATTAGTTTTATTAATTATAATAGCTAACTATTAGAAAATGTAACATAAAATAAAAAACCTTAATAAAATAAACTATTAGAAAATATAACACAAACAAGTTCT